GAAATGATTTTTTTATGTTAGGTTCTATCATATGAAAGAAATGAAGTATCAACTATGATTGTTTTAATCAGCAAAATGAGAATTAACCAATGAAAAATTCTTTAGGTACACCCTGGGTTACACCCTATATAAACCAGGTTTGTATATAGTACACCCGGGTGTACGGGTGAGAACCGTACATCCGGTCCAATTAAACAAATAATTGGCCCATCTGCTAATATAGCTCATTACCAAAAGGTTCATATTTTAGGCGGTGGCATTTTGGTAATTTAAGAGAAAAATCGCGATTTTCGTTAAATGAGCATAAGTGTACTATTAGTGAGCATCAAACATATTGTAATGAGTATTAGGAGCATAATGATGAACATCACCATCTTCGCTCAACATTTTCTAATTTTCTTTTTCTTTTATAAAACTTATTGAATTATATGTATAAACAATTTCTATGAATTGTAATATGCGAATTTTATGTGATATGATACTTTTAAAATATACATTGATATGACATTTTACAAATGACCACAACATCACGGTTTCTGTCAAATGAGCATTCATGCACTTTTACTAAGCATTACATTTATTTTGTTGAGTATTAGGAGTATAATATTGAGCATCATGATACTTTTGAATTATGAATTTATATAGCATTTTAAAATGAGGATAATGTCAGAACCAAATGAGCATACATAATTATAAAATGAGCATCGAAAAATTCAAAAGGTCATTTGAAATCGCTAATGTGTTCAAATTCTCATTTGTATATGCTCATTTCGTTTAAGCATTATGCTCATTGTGAGAGCGATGATGCAAAGGTTGGATTGATCTGTCAGGTCAATATCACCAAAATCTAATCTATACACAGCATCAACGTTGTCATCTAGAATCTCTGCAGCACCGGAGATGGAAGAATGGCAACGGACCAGAAACGCCTAAATTTTGACAGATTAGAGCGTCGGCGATTGAGCAACCCAGGTGAGACTCCAACAAATTAGGTTGCAGCAAGATGGATCTGCTCCTAGTCAGACTGCATGCATGGAAAAACTCTTCGCGCCGCGATGACGGTGACGGTGAAGCTCGAATCGATGAAGCATGGTGAAGGTCGAGCGGCGATGTCTATGGTGAAGAGATCGACGTGCAATACTGAAATGGAAGAAGGTTTAAAGTTGGAGGAAATTACAAAATTACCGGATGTACGTGTACACCCAGATGTACCATATAATTTGCGATATAACCCCCCATTTTTTATTTCCTCTCTTCCCACTTTTTTTTCTCCCCTTCCTCCCGAGTCCCCACTCTCTTCTCTCTCCTTCTCTCCCTTTTGCACAATACGAACCCCCCTCCCCCCTTTCCATCATCTTGTTCTTTCTTCCTTTGTCCTCTCTTCTTCATCTTCTTGTTTTTCTTTCCTTCTCTCCTTTTCTTTCTTTTTACGTTTTAGTCACCTTCATCATCTTCATCTTTATCGTTTTCTTCTTCTTTCTTTCTTCTTCTTCTTCATCGTGTTCTTCCTTTCCCTTCTCTCTTTTTCTTTTCTTTTCACGTTTTATTAGCTAAGTTTAGAAACGATTCCTTTGAATCAGTGTTGTTCTTCATCTTCTTTTTCTTCTTTAATTCTTTCTTTTTACGTTTATGCACACCGACACTGGTTAGCTCTAAGTGTCTGTGTACATAGACGAAAATTGCATATGTACAGACACTTTTGTTTCTACACATACAACTAATGTATGTGTACATCGACACTTGCAAACCAATTTTTTCACACCGCCACTTTTTTCTACACAAAAAACTAATGTCTGTGTACACCGACATTGGTTTCCGAACAACCAGCCCGACAGATTTGAAAACTAATTTTATTCACACTGATAGTTTTACCGAAAGTGTCTGTATTTGTTCATTTTTTGCCTGTGCGAATGGCAAATAAATGGGGTGTAATCCGAGGTGTAACCTAGGGTGTACGCCAAGAATTTTCCTTAACCAATATCATTAAAAACCTATACACTATATTGATCTTTGTAGTATAGCCGTATAGGTATCCTTAGAAATTGGATCAAAGAGTTCATTGATTCTACCTACCAAAACACAAAATCTTCGATCAAAATTAAGTTTAAATATTGAAAATTAAGCTTGTTTGCATACATAGGCGCGGTCCACAAGGGCATTTGTCAACCCCTTAATTTGAAAGTTGATCGGTCTATCTATCATTATTTTCCAACAAAAAATATTGGGAATCTACCTCGGTTGAGATTAATTCAACACAATATTTAATCTAGTGTGTATAAAGTTATAAAAAACATCTCCGCAATAAATAAAATGGAGAATAACTAAGAGCTCGAGTAATATATTTTTAGTGCAGAGCAAGAGGTTGTAATGGTTCGATTCTCACAAAATTTGGAATCAGAACATCCAATTTCGATTTTTTTATCGTAACATCCTATTCCAATTGAAAACGTCTTTTTAATTTAATAATAACAACTTCTCACTACTCTTAAATAATATGACACCACAACGCAAAAATGTACAAAAACAGTGTCAAAACAATGTACTCTATAGTAAAATGCACTCCTTAAAAATTATTTCATATAGGGTATGTTTGGGAGTTTGGAAAAAAGGGGAGGGAAAGGCTTTGAAAATATGTTGTTGGAGGGAAGGGGTAGGGAAGGTGTGGAAACCTTTTTTCGTGTTTGGGAGTAATAAACTTGGAAAAACAAAGTCTTTGAAGGAATTTTAATTAGAATCACTTAGAGACATGACAAACTCAAATAATTGAATTGATATTCATTTTAAGTTGTGCTTAAATTATCATTTCTAATTATCCTTCAAAACTCTCCAAATTGGAGGAAGCTAAAACTTGAGCATTTAAACTCTCAAGCATCCTCTCCAAATTTTTAAACTCCCAAGCATGAAAGGAGGGTCATAAACCCTCATCAACCTCTCTTCCACTCCAAAACTCAACTCTCAAACATACCCAACATGAGTGCAAGTCAAAGTAGGAATTTTAAATAGGGACGGTAAGTGATAGAAGATATATGAGGGCTTAATATGATACGGAGTAGAAGACCGCAATTTATACCCTGGGATCGGCGCATCGTGAGGATGGTGCGCCTGATCCCAAAACGACGCAGTATTCACTATTATTTTTTCTTTTATTGTTAAAAATTGTAATAACTTTTTTCTTTGATATCCGATTTTTATAAATTTTATATCAATTTTTTTTATTTTTCATGATCTATCAAATGAGACCAATATTGCTTATGTAATTTTAACAAATTATTTTGAAGTTACATTTGATAATATATCATGAAGTTACATCTTCTTCTGCGCAAGTTATATCTTATTGTACGCGAGTTACATCTTAATATACACGAGTTACATCTTAATGTATGTGAGTTACACCATGAAATAAATCTCTGCTACATCTTTCATTTTTATCATTTGAAAAATAGTGTATGAATATGAAATACAATATACTTATTTTATGTGGATTAATAAAATTTTGTATTAAATTGGCAAAGAAAAAAATTAATTCAGTTATAATTGAATTAGTTCAAGATAAAGGTAAGTAAAAAATCAAAAATAATTAGACTCACACATAATTACATGTAACTCGCACATAAAAGTATGTAACTCGTGTATAACAAGATGTAACTCACACATAACAAGATGTAACTCACACATAATTACATGTAACTCTCGCATAAAAGTATGTAACTCGTGTATAGCAAGATGTAACTCACACATAACAAGATGTATCTCACACATAATAACTTGTAACTGGAGTATAAGATGATGTAACTTCGTATATTATCAAATGTAACTACAAGCTAGAAGTAAAATAAACAAACGCAATATCTTAAAAACCTCTAAAACATATAAAAGTGATAAAAAACTATATTATAGAAAAAGTGTATGCATATAAAAATATATTACAAAAAAATGTATGAATGTAAAAAATAAAAATTACATAGGCAATATTGGTCTCATTTGAAAGATCATGAAAAATAAATAAATTTGGTATAAATTTTATAAAAATCGGATCAAAAATAAAAAAAATTATTAACAATTTTAAGAAAATGAGAAATAAAAAATAACAAAGGGTGCATGGTGCTCACCATGCACCGGTACCACGTTATAAGCGGTACCACGTTATAAGCACTGGTAAAAGACACTTCGGGAAGACAGAAAGTACAATAATAAATTATACTTCGTATATTGTTAAGAATATTATACAGATTGGCAATCTGGAAAAGCTTGTTAAACTCATTAAGTCACTTTTCAATTTTTTTTATTTTTCAGGGTTGGGCTAGGTGTTTTGGGCCATTTGGGGTGGTGAGGGGGTGGGGGGTGGGGTGAGGGGGGTTATTAGGGGATTAATTAGGAAAAAAATAGGAGGTGGCCCGAGGCCTGGCCCGGCCCAGCCCGGACCGGACCCGGTGGCTACCCGGGCTGGTCCCGGGCCCAACTATTTTGAACCAGCGGCCCGCCCAGGCCTAGGTCCGGCCCGGCCCGAGTCCACCCATAATTAAGTGTAATCAAGGATATATGTAAATTAGACAAAGAAAGTATTTCTATTATAAATTATAATGAACGGCAAGTATATATATATATATATATATATATATAGAATGGGATGTGATGTTTGAACTATATGAGAAACGGTGAGAGTTGTTATATGAGAAAGTAATATTGGCAAAGATTGTTAGATTTATTTATTCTAATCAATTATGACTATATCCATGTCAAATTAGAAGAATCCATTTTTAATACAGTGGATTCTTAGTATACACACATGGTGTAATTCTTGATTTATATATGTGAGTATGTAGCATGTAGGTCTGTCAATGGGTTCAGAACTTGAGTTTGGATTTTGGGGTCTAATTCCGCCTTTTTAAATGGGTATGAGTTCACATTTAATTCTCCTATCTTAGGCTCAGATATGCTATAGATTTGTGTGAATGATTCACATAACATACCAAGGTTCGAAATTGCATATTGCATAGTCGTGGCGATTTTATAGAAATGCATATTGCATAAGCCTCGTTGGAGTCCTACATGTTTAGGATCCTTACCGTGTTCAAATTTCTATGTGACCTAACAGAACCATTTCTTTTGATGCTTGAAGGCTAAAAATATATCTTTCGTGTGGAAATAAACTATGTACGATCTTGAAAATTGTTTCACGCAGTATCTTTCGTGAAATTTCATAGTCACTACAAGTAGACATAATATTTGCTCTAACAGATGGCTAAGCTCTCCAGATTTGTAAGAAAGACACGCTCACTTTGGGGCAAAGCTTGCAGGAGCGATTTGAAGTAGCTTTTCCGCTTGTTCGGGGAAGAATGTGATAAAGAGAAATGCACCTATGGGTTTGATCATTTAGGAAAAAACAGATTGCTGAATGAAGAAAAAATATGGATTCTCATGACAGAAAACTTACAAATTAGCACAGTTCCTAACACAGCTGAAATTTTGCCTTGTACAGTAACTAAACCAGCCTTGCCAGCATTTTGCAACTCCGTGGAACCCACATAATCAAATGTTCCTAGAAAATGATATTTCATCCACACTGAATGTATGCTTAACTTCCCGGTAACATGGTGTATGAGTATAAATATACTTCCTGTATTCTTTTTCTGATCCCAATGCTTTGACATTTTTATTTTCATATATCTTACTTTGACCATATTTTTTGCTAATATACAAAAAAATAAACTACATTATGTAAAATGTCGTTTCATTTGTCTCAATGTAAATTTTCAAAGTATTATTTTTTCATATTTTTTACTAATACATAATTATTCATATTATTGGTCAAAGTTTTGCATTCGCAAACATGAAAGTAGAACTGTTGGAGCTAAAAAGGAACACAGGTTATTAAATTAGTCCTAGGGTCAATACTATTATAATTGGTGGTTAGGATTAGTTTGGGTCTTAGTATATTACAACCTCTTAAGCCCCAAAGGCCTATAAGCTAAACCTAACAGGGAATAAAATTACCGATATTGTTTAAAAACCCTACCCCTATCCAAAGTCGGTGTACGAAATGATGATTGGGCACGTGGATAGCTTAAGCAAGTCGATCAAATATATGTGCTATAAGGGTAACTAGATCATTCTCTTTACATTACTATCTACAAGTACTGAAATGATGCTCCTATTATGCGCAATCTAACATGCCGTAAAGAGAACAAAATTGGTTGTAAGAATGTATACCTGGTTTCACGGACTTAAGCCCTGATGTTATGAATGCTATTTTCTGGTAACCAGCCTCTTCTAACCTCTGTGCAGCAGCAGCAGACCTTAAAGCATACATGAAAATAGAACAATCAATCCCACAAAATCATACAGGCCAGGCAGAAGTTAGTTAAGATTGAGAATCTTAATTTTCCCATCCAAAAACAATCAAGATACAGAGTGAAGCAATTTATCATTTAAAGAATGGTATATTTAGTCCCTCACAACCAGCCTCGATCACAAACCTAAGGCTAGTCAACCTTATAGGAGATGTAGTTAAAATTATATGTAAGTTGATATTTTTATATTTGGTCGGGTGGGTGACTTGACATTCTCTGGCTCTTATAAATAAACTAATCTTCAAACATGTGTATTTGTTAGTAATCAAACCTCTTATTTGTGACTTCGTATCTTTATAATTGGCCAATGCAAAATGGCCTCTTATTATCCTTTCTCTAAATGAGATGACAGTAATGACTTTTGGGTACACAACAAATTTAACCGTTAACACATAATCTCTACTGATCATTGAACGTTTTCATGAACATAACAATCATAGTTCTAACATGTACATTTATGCATTATAATAAACCCAATTTTGTATTAAATTTAGGATTTATTAAAAAATTGGAAAGGACACAGGCAAGCTCAATGGTTTTGATTTAGAATTGGCAGGTAACCACGGATAAAATGACTTAATTGATTGTTACTATTTATTAATCATTTGCAGTGTCGTAGCCACGGGTCCATGACCCCAACAATTATGAATTTGAGGTGGGCTGGAAAAATAACTCATTGATATAAATTTTACTAAAGGCGGGGAGGGCCCAGTATGAAGTTGGCCCCCTATTATGCCCCTGTCCTAGAACAAACTTCGCACTTTAATGTAGGATGTGCCACTATAAACTTCTCATATCCTTAATCCATCTTGAGAAACCTTCCAACATAAACTGCTTACCTTAATCCTTCTTGACAAACAAGTAACAGCTTGCTTTCATGTGAAAATTGGCTTCTCACAGAATGCAGAAATTCAGGATTTGGTTTAGTAAAAGGCAGACCAAAAAATAAACCAGAAAAATTGTTGTGCATAGTTCTCTTTATGACAGTTCCTGTAAAACCAACAACACATAAATCAGCTACCAAAATAACACAAAGTACACATAGTAATTAAAAAGAACAAAAAGAAGAGGAAAAAACAAGGATCAAACCTAAGTCATTTTCTTTATTTTCGATAAAGAGTGGAACATGATGACATTCTTTTATATGGGATCGCTCGAATTGAGTCTTGTCACACACATCTAACACTACATACCCATCAACAGCAACAAGTTTCTTTGCCTCATTGGCATTTACAAATTCAACTTCTGCTTTGATCTCCAAAGATCTTCTAAGCTGTTGTTTTCCTTTCACCTTCCCACTTCGGTATGGCTTGAGTACTAACCGAGATGCTGTCCCCAGATTGCTGAAAATGCACATCACTCATCCCTGTCAAGGCTATTACTATATCCTTGATGAAATTTAATTTTCAAAGAGTACTATGTGAAAAGTAATACTACCTCCGTCCCAAGACGAAAATGCTCTTTTTTTGGCAGTACAATTTCTAAATTGTGGTAAGGGGCACAATTAACATATTTCATATATATATATATATTATTAAGTGCCCATTTAGTAACCCATTTCCTTCGCTTATCAACCAGATCTTTCTACTGAACACTATATTTTGGATTTCACATGCTAAATTACGGAATAATTAAAAATAAGGGTAGAGTCTAGAGGTACTTTTGTGATTGAATTTGCTCAAGGGAATATTTTAGCCTTTCCATATAACTTATCCTTTGCTAATAAAATACTCCGTGTATATTATTATAATAATTTCATAACTTAGCAGATTCTATCAATTCCTAAATATAAGCACATTGGCCAATTTATTTTTTGGTTTATAGTGAACTTTTTCCTTTTTTTTCCTTTCTTCCTTTATTACAGAATACAACCGGATTCGAACATTTTTTGGGAAAACAGTTGTAAAATCGTTGATATAGCTGTTAACTAACTAGACTGTATGTGTATAAATAAGCTGATACGCATCAATAATACTCAGTTGCTTGTTATTCTCATTTCCGATCTTTCTTCCTTTCTTTATTTCGTTGCCATGGAGTTTATTTCTCCTGGACGTAATTACCATTAACAGTTGAGTAAGGCTGCTGTTAATACTCATTTTCAAACTTCAGCTGGTACTACCCCATATGAGATCATGTACAATCAACCACCTCCTCTATATCTTCCATATTTGCCTGGAGAGTCCAAGGTTGAAACTGTAGACAGATCTATGCAAAGGAGGGAAGAAATGATAAAAAGACTCAAGGAAAACCTGGTTAAGGCTCAATCCAGAATGAAACAGATGGTTGATAAAAGAAGAAGTGAAAGAGAATTCTTGATAGGGGATTGGGTCTGGTTAAAGCTACAGAATTATAGGCAACAATCTGTGCAGACAAGAAGTAATCAGAAATTGGCTGCAAGGTTCTTTGGACCATTTCAAATCAAAGAAGTTATTGGGAAGGTTGCTTATAAGCTCAAGCTACCAGTTGATTCTCAAATACATGATGTTTTTCATGTTTCTCAACTCAAGAAATTCAGGGGGGAATTACCTATTGCTGCACCTATTCCTGCATGGCTCAGTGGACAGCCTGCAGAACTGGTGCCTCAGCCAGAAAGAATTTTGGAAAGAAGAAGTGTCAAATTCCAAAATAAGGTGCAAGTGCAATTTTTGGTACAATCGAAGGGTTTTTAAGCAACGTGGGAATCAGATGAAAATTTCAGGACTCAATATCCTGAGTTTGATGTTAGCAGGATCCTGGCATGACTTGAATCAAGAATCATACTCCCACAGTCCCATTAATGCCACATTTTGTGCCTGAATCATACTCAGGCACACAGTTTCCTAAGCCCTAATACAATTTAAATAGAATCAATTTGACATTTTTGTTGCGAACTGATTCCATTACATTTCACTGCCACTCAGTAGCATACCAAACATTGCCATAGTTACTATTCATGGATCAACCAACCCTACTGCTTTCACTTATTTTCTTGTTTGTCCAATACAATTCAAGAAAGCAAAAATGTAAAGGAAGATGAACCAAATACTAGTTCCTTCTTTCTCCGCAGAAACTTGCAAAATTTAAGTGCGATTGGAAGAGATAGATTGACTGTGGTTCTCTTTTTTTGGATGAAAGATTGACTATGGTTCTCAAATGGATTGGAAAGTGATACCATTAAAAAGAAGCTAAAACCAATAGTACCTTCCGAGAAAGAAAATTGTAGGCGGCGAGCAGCAACCCATTTCTGCAAAGCTTTATGGCATCCTCTCTTTATTTTTTCTCCTAGAAATTCATAAGGCTTCTGAACTTCTTGCCACGTGGCGTGATTAAACTAGGTGAGGAATCTCAAACGGGCCGACCCGATCAAACTTGACACGTGACAAGTTATGTTTCATATAAATTGGGTCGGGTCAACTCATTTACTAACTCGTTGGAATTTCGTTAGTGCAAATTACCCGTATAATCTACTATTGTGGGCTGCATATCTTTTATGTCCCAACTTTTTTCTCTTTTCATTTTTAACTTCTAGGTTTTCAATTTTAGTTTTTTATTTCAGTTTTAGACATATTCTGCCAAACTCTTCCGTCTCCCTTCTCATCTTTTCGCATACGACAGAAACCCCCTACCTCCCTTGAGCTCTGTATCTGGATTCATGAGAGTCCTCATCCACAGTTAACATCCAAATTGTTCTCCCTGGAGCGGACGACGTAGCTTACTGAGAAAGGGGGTCACATCTCAGCTTCGACAGGTTGTAATCGAAGCTTTGAGTTCACAAGAAGCAATACACTTTCACAGATCGATCAATTTCGTCATCGCAACGATCATTCAGGAAAAAAATCAGAGTAGCGATAGGAAAAATTCATGGCTTCAATCGCACACTCTAGGTGACTTTGGAACTCATGGGAGCTGGAGGTAGTTTGTCGGTGATCTTAGTGGCTGAAATCCACAGGTGTTGTCTTCTTCAACTGGCACCAGAAGTAGTGCGATGGCGGGAGGTGTGTACGCAAAGGATTGCCCTGAGTCCTCTTCATTCTTCTTCATTTAATTTCAGATAAGTGATTAAATTTATATATATTTTTTGTTCTTAGTTTAAGAAAAAATAAAAAATTCATCATCAAAGTAGAGAGGGAGCATAACTTTATTCGGGAGGGAATGCAAGTCAATCTTCCACTCTTCACCATTTATTATTTATATGGCATATAACTTTATTTGACCATTATCATTTAATTCTCTCATGCTTATGTCATTTGCATTTGCTTTTGTACTATACATTTTAGGAGTAATAGAGTGATATCATGGAAAAAGTGCAGGCTACTTTTAGCAGCAATAGAGTGAATTCATGGCGGAAGTGCAGACTAACTCATCTCATTGTAAATTCCTATAGCTTTATCTAGGCTTTAAGTCTTCATACATAATTACATATACTCAGTATAATTTTGCAATTTAACACCAATACTGGATAGTGGGTAAATGAACAATGCAATGTGCGTGGCCGAATAGAGTTTTGATTTTATTTTTAATGTTGGATGACTATTTGATTATTATGTTTTCATTTTGTTGATGAAATCTGAGTCTGCAAAACATCAATGCGTGAGCTTTTGCAGTTAGTGGAGAAAGCCACGAGGGTTGGAAAATGAGGGTTTTTTTATTGGTTAGTTGCAATGTGCTACTCCAGAAACTCCATATCCCACTAAGACTGTTGTGTGAGCATGTTGATTTCTAATTAATTTATATATATAACGATTCTTTGTTTATTTCAATATAAAATTTGAATTAAGAATCTGTCTATCTTTCTGGAAACCAGAGAGTTGTTCTCTTCCTCTCAGAAATGACTATTGAGCTTCTTTAGAAATTGCAATGACTCCTAATCTTTTATTATTTTAATTTTAATATGTGAAGCGGTTACTCTGCTCGACTATGGTGCCGGAAATGTGCGAAGTTTAAGGAATGCAATTCAATTCCTTGGTTTTGATATTAAAGATGTAAGTTTTCCTTCAAATTCATTTTTTGTTTTGCTTTGCTCAACACGTCTTACCCATCCGAAGAGAAAAAACAGAAAAACTTGTACCGATCTATTCTATTTCAAACGAGTAAGGACAAGCCCTACATTTTGCAAGTGAAAGGATGATTTATGATTCATTTTGAAAGTTATATGACTGTAGGAAGATTCATGTGCTTTGTTCACTTCTTTTGTAATAGTTAGTGTTCTGCATGAATGCATTCTTTTAGGTACAAACACATGAGGACATTATTAATGCAAAATGCCTAATTTTCCATGGAGTAGGTGCCTTTGCTGCTGCTATGGATGTGCTAAGCAAGAATGGGTAAGTCTGTTGTAGGTTGCATGCCAAACCCCAATGACAAGTTGGCAGATATCTTGGGATGTACATAGATGTAGTGATTTGGCAGATATCCCAATGATATATCGTGGTTTCTTGTTCTGTAGTTTTTTGGTCCATGGTATTTATAAAATTTGTGTCCTGCAGAATGGCTGAAGCACTCTCCAGATATGTTGAACCAGATCGGCCATTTCTGGGCATTTGTCTTGGCTTGCAACTGCTTAAAATGAAATACATGATGAAGAGGATGATAAAAAGATTAAGAGGATCATCCAGGAAATTGAAAACTAAGAGTCAAAGAGGAGAAGAAATTATAAGACCAAATCTAAATATTATGATAGATAAATGTAATAAATTAGAATAATAGACCGAATTATGTATTTGTTGTGATACTGTTATATTTAGTAATATTTTTGTTTCATTTTGTTGTATCATACTTGTTGCAATTTGTTGCATCGTGTTGTTAATTGTTGCATCATGTTGCATGTTGTTTATTATTGATTTTGTTTCATTTTGTTTCATTTTGTTGCTTTTTGTTGTGTTTAGTACTTATTGTTGTTTGTTGTTGATTTTTGTTGTGTATTTAGATTTTATATATTTTTTGGATTAAAAGCTAACAAATATATATATATATATATATATATATATATAGTCGCTATATATATATATATATATAGAGAGAGAGAGAGAGTCGTCTAAAATGATAAATTTAGATTTATAAATATACACAAAACTTAGAAACATAAAGAAACAATAAAAAACAAAAAAATCATAATTATCAACAAAAAGAAACACATATAAACAATAGGCAACAAAAACTAATAGTAGTAAAATAATAATAATAATAATAATTACAAAAATTAAGTGCTTTAAGAAATATTAATTCATAAATTCTTATTTTTAAATTTTCAAATTTTCATTATTTTTTCCAAGTTCATTATTTTAATTTTTCATATTTGTATTCACTGAGTTTATTTTTAATTTTAATGTCTTTTAGGTCACATTAATTTTCCGTTTTTTTTTATTTAAATAATATGTTTTTATTTGTTCCAATGTAATATACTTTTTAATTTAACTTTTCGAATTAATTCAAATTTTTATATTTATTTGAATTTTTATTTTCTTTAATATGTAGATTTCCCAATATTTTAAAATAAAGAATTTTTCATAAAAGATTCCGATTATTTTTCTTATTATATAATATTTAAAAAATATTTTTATCTTATTTTATACTTTTTTTATAAAACTTTTGATTTTTTATATTTTATAAAATAGATTATATTACCTAATTAAAAAATTACATTAAAAAATATTTCTCATGTTTTTTTATTTTAAGATTTCTAGATATTTATTATTTCTCTAACTTTTTTGTAAAATTTAAATTCATTTTCTTTAATTTTTAAATTTAATTTACAATTTTCCAATTTTGCATTTTTTTGGAATTTTATTTTTATTTTAAGTTTTTTATGTTTTGTAAATTCAATTTTTTTATTTTATTTTTTTCTAAGCATTATAAAATATATGAGTTAATAAAAAGTTGAGTGAGTCCTTTGTACTATTTGTGAAGAGAGGAGCGGTGATTCAATCTTTATGTGCATGGGTGCACGTGTGATGAGAAAAAAATTTGAGCCAGTGGGCTTCATACGTACAGATGGCCCATTTTTGAAAAAAAAACTTTGAAGTAGCCTTTTTTAAAATAAAGACTTACGGGTGATAAAAATGATACAACTTTCACTTTTGGTCTATTTGTGAAGATTTCCCATTTCTTTAACTCTAACCCAAGCATACAAACCGGCGGCCCGACCGGGCCTAGGCCCGGCCCGGGCCCGACCCGGCCCGAATCCATCCCTAATCTTCTCCAAATTCTTTCTACATATATATAATTTATATAATTATTATATCTATTTATATATTAATTATCTACTTATAAATATATACTTATACACATTCATATTATAATTCTTTACACATTATATTATATATACTATATGTAGTTATACATTATATTATATATTACTTATAATATATTTACACATTATATATACTATATATACTTATACTCATTGATATAGACTTAAACACATTCATACATTTTATAAAAGTAGTTAATTGTTAGACTTCTCGTTTATCTATTAAATTACTTAATTGTTTCATTTGTCATATTAATATTAGTTAAAGTAGTTAATTGTTTCATTTGTCATATTAATATTAGTTAAAGTAGTTAATTGTTTCATTTGTCATATTAATATTAGTTAAAGTAGTTAATTATTTCATTTGTCATATTAATATTAGTTAAAGTAGTTAATTGTTTCATTTGTCATATTAATATTAGTTAAAGTAGTTAATTGTTTCATTTGTCATATTAATATTAGTTAAAGTAGTTAATTATTTCATTTGTCATATTAATATTATGAATGAATTTCATGCACAATATGGTAATGCACCCCCTCCCATGCAACGAGGGGGTTTTAAATGTTATTAATATTAACATTTAGCTTTTAAATGTTATGAAATTCTTCAAAAGAGATATGATTGTAATATTTTGGTTCCCGATTCGCCCTCTATCAATTATTACAAATAATCGATGGATGCATTCATATATCATACAAGATGAGCTATTTCCAATTTACAATAAACAATGCCCGCACTGAAGTTCATGAAATATCCAAAGGCAAAAAAATCGCCATCTTGAGCGATAAAAGAGATAAAGACAACACAAAAAGACAAACACATTATTTGATAGCATATATGCTCCTCAAGCGAGTGAGAATACAGAGTTTAAGTTGTTTGGAACTGAACACAAGAATATTCAACGATAGAGGCTTTCAGATCTCAGATTCTCTGCAATCTCAGTCTCCCAGCGATCGCCATTCTCGAGCAGCTTCTCCTTGTCATATAGAAGTTCCTAGAAACAATGAAACAAGTGTGGTAATCCAATGTGTGCCAACTAGCTAATAAAAGAAAAGGGTCACACCTTATGTGTGTACACAAACAGGTTTTCCTTGATTCATTTGTACATCTTTTTGCATTTTTAAACAAATTGCATGTGCACCGTGTATGTAGGCAAAATAGGGGGGTACAAAAGATGTACCAAAAAGGGCATACAAATGGAAATTTCCAAAGAAAATGGGGAATGAAAAGGAAAAGCCATCCGCTTATCAATTATAGCATAGAATGAAACCGTCACAGGAGAGTATTCTTCCATGGGCATCCCCATTACAAATGAATTAAGAAGTTTTACCTTAAACGAAACATTTTTAGTGTTTCCAGGGTTAATAAGGGCATGTTCTCACGGAACACGGAAATGCCACTATATGCAGGAGGAAAATCCATTTTTTCTTGATAAGTTCCTTTTAGGGTCCATTTTGAACATGTACAATAGTAAGGAATGAAAAAAGATGCATAGGAAAACAACTTTTAGAGGGAGGTTTTAACTTGAAAAAAGATGCATAGGAAAATCAAATTTAGTTGAACTTTTTGGATGTTTACATGTTCACGATTACTAGTCTACATATATATAAAGTTCTAGAGTAAATTTCATCTAAAATTGATTATTGAGTTTCAAGCTATTTGTCCCCCCCCCCCTAAAATTGCCCTCTTTTTTCCTTTTCTTCCTTTCCCTAGCATTTCCCAGGTTCCAAACAGGCTCTTACGTAAAAGATAGAGTATTAAACAAACCTCATGAGTCTCTGTAGCGAATTCAAAATTGGGGCCCTCAACAATGGCATCAACAGGGCAAGCCTCCTGGCAAAATCCACAGTAGATGCATTTCGTCATGTCGATATCATACCTGCCATATATCCAGTTCACACATGAGATAGCCATGGGAGTCAAAGGATGAGAGAGAGAGAGAGAGAGAAAGGAAAGTCTACCTGGTGGTTCGACGACTTCCATCTTCTCGCTCCTCAGCCTCAATAGTGATAGCCTGAGCTGGACAAATCTGAACGCCAAATCAATCAATCACTAAAAATCAGTGTCACAGCAAAAAAAAAAAAGAAATAGAACTCCGTATAATGGAAGTTTGAGGTATTATAACATAAATAAACACTTACAGCTTCACAAAGTTTGCATGCAATACAACGTTCCTCTCCTGTTGGATAACGTCGGAGAGCATGTTCTCCACGGAAACGAGGGCTCAAAGGACCCTTCTCAAAGGGATAGTTGATCTGCAAGTTTCAAATACTTATCAGTCAACAATTTTATATATACATGAGCTTTTTTTTAAATCTCATACATAAATGAACTTTTTAAACTGGACAAAAACTGCTACTCGGTTAATGGCAGGCCAGGTCAATTATTTTAAATATGGGATCTTAGTATCATCATTCTCTGATTTTATGGTGCAACACGATCATTTGATATGGATTGTACTCAACTACTCAAACATAGTCATGTGTATATTATCCAGATAAGAAAATATATTCACAGAATAATTTACTTCTTTTAGAAGAATAAAGTTTACATTTAATAACAGCAAACAATGCATTAGAGCAAGGTTTAATTTTTATTTTAGTAAATTCAATCAAAGCCGACCCCAAACTCTATTGGGACTAAGGCTTGGATGTTGTTGTTGTTGTTGTAGTAAATTCAATCAAATTACAAGTTTTTATTTCATATATACTCAGTTGGTCACTGGAACCATAAAACGTTAATTCCAAGCTTGTTTGGAGAATTGGAGCAAAAGTATTTGGTGGTTATACATGAATTATACTTCAAATTTAAAGTTGACTTTCAGAATCGTTATTTCTTGGATGTAAAATTCTTTAAACTAAACCTTTTGCAAAGTAGGATTATTTACCTGTAAATGATATTCAATTTTCTATTTTATTACTCCCTCTGACCCACTAAACTTGACCAAATTTGATTGACATGTGAAATTGGGTAGTTGAGGTTTGTGTAGAGGAGAGATAAATAAAATTAATCAAAAACTTGTTACTTTGAAGGGAAAGTAGCAAAGCTTTTGGAATAGCCAAATTAAGAAAAATGGCAAAGTTTAGTGGGTTGGAGGAAATATAATCGATAGACTCACGTAAGCTTTGGTTCCTAATACCCTACTATAAACCGGTCAAAACTAACACTTTAACAGTTTAACCCACAATGACCACAATGCCACAAGAGCAGTAGCCATTGTGATTCCCAAACAGCCACAAAAGAGTAAGAACAAAAACAAGAGAAAATATAACAAGGACTTACAGTGACATTCTTCTCAAAGAAGTACTTGAGTGTTAGCATCAGACCGCGAACCATTTCAGTTAGAAATAGTGTATTGATGCTCCTCTCAAAAACTGCACATTATTAACAAGGATTAGGAATGTATAATTAATTCCATGTTAAGGCATTACAGAAGGAAAGTGAGTAAAACATGAGGTAGAAAGGATTTTACTAGAGTTCCAATCTTTAGACAATTCTTTTGCAAGCTTCTCTCTCTCTTCATCATCTGCAACACTCAAATATGAATAACTGTTAGCACTCCACCTGATCCATGCATATTGATAAAATGCTTCATTCACGGGCATCTTATTTTAGGAGACTAATAAAGTAAAGATGTCAATTTTATCATCATATTAAAAATCAGAACAAGTTTTTACAGCATTTTGATGTTTTCACAGATCAATAGGAACCATAAGCTCAGTTATGCCGTAACCTTTATCATCTAATATCAAGTAACACACACCTCTGACCCTTAAATTTTTGAGGCCATATGGATATGAGGATATATATCCATACAAGCCATTAAATAAAATAATAAATTTTAATGATGACAGGTACTGATCAATATATGTAACATACACCCTTCATTCTTTCATTTAATAATACGCCTTGGATGAAAATGTATAAACAGGTAGAAAACAAGTCAAGAGAAATGCACAAACCCTTGTCATTAGAAAATGCATTCTTTGTAGCAAATGATTGTGACCCAAGCATGGATCCAAAACGGTTAGAGCCTTGTAACGCTTGTCCTGCCAAAACCTACAATTACCAATAGACAAGAAGAGGAATGATATAGATCTTTTCTGAAATAGATAAGTGATGCGGAGCACAACATAAAAGTATAGCCCAATAGCAGCCCACAAAGTTGTCTTGTAAGCCAAAGCACATGAAAGCTACTCTAAAAGATAACTCAGAAAACACTAATGAAGCAACCTTGGTATGTGGGGGGTGAATTTCTGCTCTTCAATGAGCATCCTTACACGTATAATCCATCTTTCCGCTCACCTTATTGTTATCTACTAAGCTGAACCATTACAATACAATGCCATGAAGTGTCTGGTCCATCCTATTATACTACACATAACATAGAATCTAGGAAAAAGTAGTTCTTACTTCTTAAGGTGTTTTGGCAACTTATTAAGCATTTCAATTTTGTATACCACAAATCAAAGGAAAAGATCCGATTAGACTTTCTCGAGACAGTTCGAATGCGGTAAACAAAAAGAACCTCATACAAATTCATGTCAAGAACGAAATTAGGGTCTCGTGAAATCCCTGATTCGCATGAAAGGCAGTAAAGGGGTGGACATGATTTATTGACGTACTAAAGTTTAGACTCCGGAGAAAAGGGAAATGATGGAGGACTTACAAGCTGACGAGAACGTAGAGCAGACATTGATTTACGAGCTAAGATGAAGGCCATAGCTGGTCCGGCGACGGAAAGATGCTCAATTCTCTGTTCGAGTCGATGGGCTCGAAAAAGGAGTGTGGAAAACGTAAGCCAGCAATTCAGTTAGTAGCAATGTAGCATTGAGTCGGTTCGGGTCATCAATTGATACCGGCTCGCTTTGTATAAGCCCAACATTTCCATAGGCTTGATATCATATGTTTATAGACAAACTCTATAAACATATGGATTACATTTGATATGGATTACATCTTTTTATGAACGAAATACATTTTTTTGTGCGTGAGTTACATGATCTTGTGCGCGAGTTACACTGACTTGCCTTAACAAGTTACTTTTTGTATACACCTAAGTTAGATTTTCTCATCAACATGAGTTACATTTTCCATAACACTAGTTACATACCAAAATAAACCCCAACTAGTTGCAAAAACATATATTCAAAAAAAATTATGGCTTTAATATTGAAAAAAAAACATATCCACTACTTATGTAAAGTAATTGAGCAATTAGACTACTTTTTTTCATTGTTTACATTGAAATCAAGGTTTTATTTCTTCTTCTTCGTATTAGAAAAGTTACACCGCAACTTGCCTGCAGTTACATTGCATATTAACGTGAGTTACATCTCATTACACACAAGTTAAATCACCATGTTACTGAGAACAAAAAAAGGTTACTGTTCACGTGTGAATTAGCTATGGGAGCACCATGCTCACCATGGGCTGCTCCCACGGTATACCAATATTTGAACAAGTTTCAAGTATTTTTTATCCTTTGTTTAGACTAAATAATCTTAGTTTTAGGGTAAAACAACAATATTTGTATTTGTGCACTTTACTTTGTCTTGCTTTTATTGGCACCAACTTTAAATTAATAAGTCAGGAACTTGCAGCCATCTTCAATGATGCCTAAACTATCATAATCACTCTTAAACATCTTTTTTTTTGTATTGATTGAATCTACAAAATGTGTAATATGTAGGTATTTTAGTATGTTATTAAAAGATAAGGTAACAAGACGTCAAAACATAGCCACAAGATGGCTTTTTTCCCTTGTAGTTAGTTGTAGGTTGAATACTTGAATTAGCATAGCAGCCGCATGTTAATAATTAGTTGGACTGTGATCAGATCCGGATTTAACTGTCTAGGGACTTTGGAGGGTAGTTCATAGACTCCAGGATTATGGGAGCCTAAGCCCCGACACCTGAATTATCAAAAAAAAAAAATAGTTGGAGTCTGTTCTTGGCAGAAGTTCCTAGTTTATCTAGGTTTTAACTTTTATAAAAAAAATCAGGTTCTTGATTAGTGTTTCAACAATTATGGATATGATATCTCCATAGCCACTTAGCCAGTACTTGACCTCCACCAGTAAGAGACTTGTTTCTTCAAAATGTATTGTTACCACTTACCGGTGGGCGTAACTCAACTGGTAGCGAGAGAGTGCCACAAGGGTTAGGTCTCGGGTTCGAATCCCGGCAAGTGCGATGAGAGGTTACTATACTAAAATATGCTTAGGGCCTCTGCAAGTACCGGGGACAGAGCCCTACTCTCTATTTGTGAGATTGGGATTATAGTCCAATTTACATTCTCCCAACTTACCGTCCGGTCGGGATTGGGGGCCCTCAGGGATGGGGTGTCATCCTTTTTTTATCAAAATGTATTGTTGTCTACTTTGGAGATTGGTTACTTGACACGTTCTGTCTTTTTGGCGTTGGACCAAGTCCAAACAGTTTGTTTGGAGCGTAGCGAAGTGTTGAGGTGGGTCGGTACGAAGAATTTTTTCAGATAAAGTTTACACATAATATTTTACATTAAAAATACAAACAATTTTAAAATTTAGGGTGCGCCGGGACTGGTTGGCCCCCCACTACCTCCACCCTAGCAGAAACAAGTCAAATCTTATTGAAGGTTGTTGTTGCAAATATATTGACATTGAAAAGGCACTAGAAGAATCATAAGAATTGAAATCTCCCTAAACAAGTGTATGAAAACGCGGTTTCTTGGAAATAGGATAACTATGTTTCCCTTAAACATGAGTAAGTAATATCCCTTAAATATGGCATTAGTAGTTAGTACTGTCATATTTACTCACTTTACTGTCTTGTGATTTCAGGATCGAGCATTTTACTCATTTTGAAAATTATTGTACTCCTTTTTAAGAAAATCACCTTTTTACACTAAAATGAAAATTTTATGTATGTATAATCATGCCATCGTCTATGTACATTGATCTAGAATTCATTACGGATCGAGTTGGATATATATATGGGATAGAGGTCGGGGCCTGTTTGTTTCATACTTTCATTGATGTTGGCTGGTATTGTTCTTTTACATAAAGTTGATATATCGAGGCTCATCCAGCAACAATAGCATCATTCATTAATTCATTCATAATTTTACTCTAAACACAAAACCCAAAAAAGTTATTTACAAAAATTCTTAGAATTTCCAGTCAGTACAATCAGGCTCTAATGCAAGTTGGATTAAGAAAGTCTTCCATTTCACACATTGTTTATTTAATATCACTACTTTTTTTTAAAATAGCTTTCCCATTTTTTCAAAGAGTGTCTTCCTATAGAAGGTAATAATATTCCAATAAAATAAATGGATTGATTTTTTTACTGAAGTCCTTAAGGACGCACGTTTATGGGTTTTATTTGAAATAGTAGAAAATCCATTTGGCCCTTTTCTGAAATTAATAGCACACAAACGGGTATGTTCATCACCAGTAATCCCACACTTATACGACAGAGTTGTCATGAACAGATCTTTCTATTTGTTTGCAAATAAAGAGAGCCAGTGTATTTATCTACATCACAGATCACACCATTTTATTTTAGTCCATAATAAAATCGTCCACCAAGGTAACAAGAAAAAAAGATAAGGGTGGAACCCTCCCTCCTAGAAATTTCATAACACAGGAATATAGCTTCCCGCATAAAGGGACCACAAGAAAACCAAAGTTTATGTACAGGATTGTGTGGGGGTGAAGGGGAATAAATTGCTCAATGTATTCATGTACACTTGCTAGTCTTCAAAAGTATTATTACAAAGAGTTGGGCTTGTTTGCTCGGCAGAACCAAGGGGTAAATGCACTGATCAAGTGAGGACAATCTTCGACATTCCGGGTTGAAAAGCTGAGACATTTTTGCAACAATTCTTGAGCATCCTGAAGTGGAAGTGTTGATATTATCCTCAAGAATGTTTCTTCAGCTCAGAATAAAGCGATTTATGCGGGGGCGGACCGTAGTACAGACCCAGGGGGCTACCCCTCAACAAGAATTTTTTTAGTGTATATATATATGAAAAATAAGTTTCTCCCTCCTCAAAAATATTTTGAACCCCAAAAAATATTTTCGCCTCCCAAGGTGACTTTTCTGGATCCGCCCCTGAATTTATGATTTGGCATTAGAAGTGATACATTGTCTTTGCACGCAATAAGCACAGGGAGCCAATCTTTCACAAGCTTCATTCTAATCTGTCATTTGCAAACATCATGCATGATAAGCAAAACATAATTACAAACAAGTGTTCTGTTCAAAGATACTCCGTATATAAATACTCTGTACCACTGCACTATAAAAGTATAAATGCCCTGTGTGGTATCCCCAATTAATCCCTGTTAGGCATTACAATGCCATTGACCAACACTGTTCTTTTTACAACTCAAGCCATCCTAATTCCATACACCCTCGTCAAAACCTGATGGTCCAGAGTCCTGACCTTAGGGGTTACAGATTAGGCCTCAGGGGCAGTTTGGCATTACAGTAATAAAGGGTCGAATTTTGAAAAAAAAAATGTGTTGTTGAAAAAACTTGGTTTGGTAAGTTTTGATATAAAATGATGTAAATGTATAAATGTTGGAAAAAAGGAGGGTGAGACTATTTATTAAATAAAAGACTGTTAATTTAGTCAAAAGCGGGATATTATGACTTCAAACCATCTATTTTTTACCATAATTGTGGCTTTTAAGTTATTTTATTATTTTAGCCTTCAAGCTATTGTGGCAATTTTATAACAATTTCTTGGAAAAAAAAGTGACATGGCTTAAAAGCCACAACAATACCAAACCAGGCCTTAGTCTACCAACATCACTATAGACATCTTGAATGCATATGTAATGCACATTATGCTCTCACTCCCCAAAACAGCTACATCTCATGCTATGAAAATGAAGTCTTTAGCAAAGAGTGCATGGGAATTGTACAAAAGTGCAGCGAAGGAGCCCCTTGGAAGACCATGAAGAAGAAACAAAGCCAACTTGAGAGACTTAGAACTAAAAATTATCTTTATGAACTATAAAGTCCACTATTTGTTGCACATTTAGCTATGTTGTAAAAACCGGACCGGAAGGCGACCCGGAGCAATGATTGGGTCAAGGGTCAACCTGGACTCGGGGCTCAACCCGGTCAACGGTTAATAAACCCGGTCAACATTGACTAAAATAAAAACATAGAATTTGGATATATCAAAATTAAAATTTTAAGGAGAATATAATTTTCAATCATAATTTAGTATTGATAATACTTGACAAACATGGAAAATAAAATAAGTGTTCTAAAATATACAAATTTTAACCATTTTTAAAATGTATTTGAAATTAAAGACAATAAATATGAATATATCACTTTGCACAAAATTTGAAAATATTATATTCAAGTTTTTACTTCTAATAATAGAGATAATGTGTATTCTTATTTTTACTATGATGATTATTATTTGCAGAATAACAATTATAACACTTTCGTAAGTCAAATAATACGTCAAAAGAGTATAAAAGAAGCTAAAGCATATATATTGTCAAGAAGTTGAAGTAGTCCATTGACTACTTCAATTTTATCTTATATCCTTTTTATCTTATATCTTCAATTTTATCTTTTATCTTGTCAAGAAGCTAAAGCATATATATTGTAATTTTATCTTATATCCTTTTTATCTTATTTTACTTTATTATTTTTTTCATTTTTTAGCTCCAATTTTATATATGGATTCATGTTAGTATATTCTAGAATCTTTTGAGATTACCGTTCACTACAAAAAAACTCGCCCTTTGTCACGGATTTTGTCACGGACGGTAGTTCAAAAAATCCGTGACAAATGATTTTTTGTCACGGATTTGTCACGAAAAAAATCCGTGACACCAGGGGCGTGATAACGTTTTTGTCACGGA